GGCAATACTGAACTTGTCTTAGTTTGCTTGAATTTAAACGTTTCATTCACCTTTGGTCGTGGTTGGCAATCTACTTTTTGAAATCTAATGAAGTTTTAGCATAAAAAATGGAAGGGGATGGCTATACATGAGATGTGGCTATCAATTGTAAGAGCGGATTACAGGTAGCAATTGTCGGCAAGTGGGATAAAGGCTAGGAATAATGATGTGAAGGAAAGAAGAAATGGTCAATTAACAAGAGCATTATACTTTAATTTCTTGGTGCCTGTATTGCCTAGTGGACACAGAATGGAAACACTAGTCCCATCACATCGGAACAAGTCTACCAAAAATAACTACAGATGGTCCTGAACTCCTGATGGTTGATATGAGTCTTGTAACAACAAAATTCATGGTTACTCAACATATGTAAGCCAAAACTGAAACTAAGTTCACCAGCTCATGGAGGAAAGTAAAAACTTTAGAGTAGTGATTGTGATACATGATAAAAGGGAGCCAAAAGGATTATGCAATATGTTATGTCAACAATGGTGTAATAAATAAATATTACATTATGGTAGTTCTCCGGCCTTCTCAAGTTTAACATCTTTATGATTAAGTAAACAAAGAACTAAGCTTTCGGCCGCAATGGAGATCAAGAAATTAGCAAGTTATTTCAGACCTATTGTGGTAGAGGCTGGAGGAAGTTTATAGGAGTAAGGCAATGAGATGTTAGATGGAGACAGATATGCTTGGTAGAACTGAGAACTTGGTGGTTACAATTTGAAAGAGGATGGTTAAGATCAAGGTTTGCCGTACCGGACTGTACCGCCCGGTACAGGTGGTACGTACCGGTCCAACAGGCTAGCGGTACGCGGACCGCCCTGTACCGGTCCGCCCGTACCGAGCACTGTAGCACTGTAGCACTGCTACAGTGCTCGGTACACCTGAGTGTACCGCTGGGTGTACCGAGCGGTATACCGTACCGTACCGGTACCAAGCCCGAGTCGAAACGCCGGTACGGTACGGTACGACGAACCTTGGTTAAGATTGAGAAAATCCTTCACAGAAATAGTGCTTGTTAATGCAGTTCTTTATTCCATCACCATTTATTATATTTGCATCCTGTAGATGTCAGTAATTATATTAACATGGCCACCAAAGGTTCTCTGAAAAAATAACATGACAGAAGACTTACATCTTGGAAGAGAAGTTCTTTAATGCTGCTTGGTGTCTATATGCTGTTGTTGGTTCTCTTGAAAATTGTAAGCGTGCTTTCTGCAAGTATATTGGTAATGATTTGGAATGAACTTTTTTCTTGATTTTTAAAAGATCTTTGGTTGTTTCCTATTCTGAATAAAAAAATAAAGATTACTGATCCAACGAATGGTGGAAGATGGAACACTTGTTGTCCAACCAATTCAGCTTGATTAGAATACTTGAATTTGGCTCACTGTGTGCATCGAGCAGCTACTGGTAGAAGTGCGCATACAAGTATCAGAGCAGGTCATTTGTCTGAAATCTGATTCTACCCATTTTGACTTACACCATAATCTTGCAGTTGGATCTCTGTGTCAAGCTCATTAATCTACTTTGGATATATGTTAATTCCTTTTCCTATTAACTTAGGCTTTTGTGATGAGTAACAATCCAACTAATACATCATGAACAAAGAAAAGAAAATGCTTGACTGGTACAATGTCAAACCATGGAAAGCAGCTTCTTTTGGTCGAACCCGCCAGAAAGAACAAAAGACAGCCTTACTTTGAACTGCCTGCTTTTATCTTTGAATCTCTTTGGTTTTTTTTTTATTAGGATCCTTTAAAAGCAATACATTTTTTACAAACCATTGTCCAGTTAACACTCGGTTTTCGATACGCTCTTACTTCTATATGATGAATATTTTTGCTTGTTTTCCAAATTTGAGGCTATGGTGTGGTAGAATCATTTGCCGAGGTGACTGTGGAATCTTTTGGTGGTCATCAGGGGTTAATGGATTGAATTTGTACTCAAGAGGACTTACAAAAAAAAAAAAAAAATCCTTGTTGTTGCAGGTACGTGCCGAAGGAGTTGCGTCGAAGCGCATGAGCTCTTACAATGTGCAAATTCAAAATGAAATCTCAAATTTAATCATTCAAGCTGATTCTATAAATATGGCTCAGACTGTCATATTGAAGAAAAGAGAATCCTTCCGAGTTGGAAAGTATTATTTAGGATTGATTCGAGCATCGCGCAAACCACTACCGATGGATGATAATCAAGTTGCTGATTAGTTGACAATTTTTTTTTAGTACTTTTGCGAAATGTACATGGGTGGACTTTTGTTTTTCGATGGATTAGTTTTATTAATGTAATAATTTTCATTTGACAAACACTTCAAAGCTTAAACTGAGCAATCTAAGAGAATTTGCTGTTCTATGAAGCATGAGCTTTCTTCAGATATATATAGTGGTCGATTTGGTTTTAGCTTATGGTAGTATGGAATTTTCAGTCACCTACAAAATGATACATCTTGTTTGATTAATAAGAAGAAATATATTTTTTACCGTCATTTAGCACCCAAATATCGTTCTTAAATCCATTTTAAAAAGTACATTTTTAACATTTTGGTTTGGTAATTCTTTAATAAGATCATATATAATCAATCTCACGTTGGTTGGAAGGTTGGAGAGTAAACATCACTCTCATCTCCTAAAAGGTCCTTTGACGTCCATACCGAAAGAGCAAAACGAATGGCTATTCGTGGTGGCTCAGAATGCTCCAAATGTACACTGTTGTCTTCTCTTTATCTTTTTTTTTCTCTGATGATTGGAAAAAGCCTCCCAAACATGAGATTTTATTCGGTACTGGACTTTCTTGATCTATTACTGTGCCTCGAACGATCTCCTCTTTTCATCTCTCTCTTGACATGATTTTTTTCTACATTTTATTTCATCAGAAAACTGAATCGAAGCAATTGCAATAGATTTCAATCTATTTTGTTTCTGCGTTCTGTTGCGTAGTATCTGTTTATTCTACATCTTACCAATTGTTTTGCCTGTCTCAGCTTTTGATGCTTAGGCATGCATCAAAAGGGCAGATTTCATAAAAACCAATCTATACTTTTTGTATGGTCTTCAACTAAATCAACATTCCTGTAGATTCTTGCAAAGGAAACACACAAACCTATCAAAGAATACCAACATACACTCAAGATTCTTATCTTATCGACTGATGATATGTACCGCTCTATACCGACACTATGGGAACTCAAGTAATCTGCATCTCGATCACCTATCGAACATACTATACCGAGAGAGTCGGTAGAACAAACCTTGGTTCCAAGTGCTTCGACAGCAATAGATTTGAACAAGGTCTGCTGACAAGAACAAATGCTACAATCATAGCGCAAACTACTTGCATCGAGCAGCACTCTCATGAGATTCATGCTGAAGAAATGGAGGAGCTGCAGATCATCTGAAAATCGATAAGTCGAAGAAGATATTTGAGGCCAGGAAAGGGAGTGAATCAGATGTTGAAGAAGCAGAAGAAGATGTCATGGCAAGACCAAGTAGCATTGAGGGTTTAGATTCATGTCTTCTATGATCTTGTAAGATACAATGGGTGAAATAGATCAAGGCTACTTGATGATTGGCCAACCCAGATGCAGAGTCTGGGTGTTATCTATTCACAAGATCTAAGGATCAATGCATAATTTCCTGTATTGTGGCAGGATAGAAACAATGGACTCTTCAAGAAAGAGGAGTTATAAGAGCTCTATTTCTCTGCAACACTATCAATGTGCTAATCCAACACATTGCAGTATCAGGGGAAAAAGAAGAGATGAATCAAGATAAAACACTAAACCACCAACTTCTCAGAAACAAAGGAGCAAGACTTTTAAGTGTTGTCAGAATCCCAAGGATCAGATATGCTGGATGGCAGTTTCAGTTAGAAGGCAGTAGGAAATCAATCATCTCTGAAACTGTAGAAGCCTCAGTTGACAGTAAGTAATGCAGTCACTTTTGCAGCTAAAATGGAGTTGATGAATGTGACTTTGGAATCAGATAACTTATCCTATCAGGTGTTCTTCTTAATCCAGTACTTAGATTCTAACTTCTGTTGAAGATATAGTTGAAGTTCTTCATGTGGCTGGATGTTTGAGGACTTCAAGGTTGATCATGTAACCAGAGATTGCATTAGGGTAGTCCATGGATGCCTCTGTATTCCCATTCTACTTGAATGAATGATAATCTACTTTTTCACATTTGTAAAACAAAAAAAGATGAAATAACAAAAAAAAAAAACAATGTTGAGAAACTCTTAACAGCTCAAGATATCTAAAGGAAAAAAGAAAAAGTGGATCAACAGTAAGGACACTGCCAGATATCTTATAACTGATGGATTCAGGAAGGCAGTGATAAGAATTTTTAAGAAAATAAATTTTAATGAACAAGTCATATCTTTTTCTTGCCATATTCTTTACTACTCTTCCACCATTTCTTATCGCTATCATAATTATCCAATCATATGCCAACCAAAATCCGCAATCCACTAAATGCATTATGTTCAGAGGAAAAAATTAATAATTCAAACCTAAAAGTAGGACCTGTGTATCAATTAGAAATTATTATTTTTTAATCTCGGAATTGCATAAGCATAATTTGGCAGTGAGATATACCATACCTAAATGCATCGGAAGGGCACCATTATCACATGGTTTATTATGTGAGTGTCTGGAATCCAGCATGCACTTAGCTGAAATCAAATCACTGGCATCCGATTAAATGAGCAAGTAATCAGCAAACATGAAGGTGACACTTCACAATGGAAATTGTGTCAAGTTACAACCATAACCAGTGTATGAGCCCAAGGAACTATTGATAATATAACTACAAGAAGATATTTCCAAAATACTAGATCAACTTCCTAAAATATGTAGGTTTATCAGTATAACTTTTCTAGTTTCATTGCCACGATAGAGAAAAAAAACCAGAAAGATAACATGAAATTATGAACTGATGCATTGAAGTGGTACAATCTATAGGCATGAAGGGACAACTCCATAAAGCAACAGATATCAGCGATTGTGTATCACATGAAATAAATTCCTTCCGAGAATAATGCACATGAGAAATACACTTTGAACCTCTTTTACTGCATTTTGTTGATCTCCTAAAAAGCGATGTAACTAAGTCAAGTTGGAAAGTAGTGAAAGGGATTAATAGTAATAATAAAGGATAATCTGGTTCCGACAGTGTCAAGTGTACCATCAACATCAAGAATTGTTCACCTTCAGTCAGCGGATGAACTCTCAGACCCTGGTGTAGCCTGAGTTGACTGCTCGGCACTGGCAGCATTGGAATTGATTGGTTTCTTAAACTGAACCAAAATCATGGTCATATTGTCACATCCTTCTCCACCAAGTGTTGAAGGTGCCAAACACCTGTCGAGCACTTTCTCACACACAGCAGATAGAGATGTTTCCTGAAGTTATATAGAGGAATATTGATAATCAATGACACGTTCATGATGCTATCATTTCAGTGTCAAAATCAGGACATTTGAACACTAAAAGGCATTCGTGGCATTTAATAGTGAGGCTCCTCTTTACATTACAAGATAAAAGACAATTTTCACTACTGAACTTTGCAATTACCTTGTTTATGTGCTCATGGATGAAATTTACCAGCTGTTGGCTTGACATGCAATCCCTGGAAACAATAGCACCAGAATGAAATTGTAGAAACAAAAATTGAAAGTGAATATGGATATCCAATTAAAGAAGTATTTGACAGATCTGGCATATCTATCATATTCGTGAACAAGATGGACTCAAAAGATCGATAAAGAATATGCAAAATGAGTCATGCAGTTGTGTACATTCAAACATAATGGTGTTTCCAGAGACTATTTTAATTGCCATTGTTAAAAATAATTTTCTAGGGTGCATGTTTGGTGGAGAAGAGACTAAACTACAATTTGTAGGATATAGATAGGACAGCTATAATTATGCCCCTCCAAAACTACCATATGCAGATGGATGGTATATTAGTATGTTCTAGGAGCTGAAGAAATGAACAAATGAACAAGAGAGCCAGAGAGAGAGAGAGAGAGAGAGAGAGAGAGAGAGAGAGAGCAATAAAGGCACTAATTTAAAAAAATGGATAAAAGGGAGGCAGATATGACAGATTTTCCCATTTGCCTTTTTCTCAAATGTAAGAGAGGCAATATTTCTCATCCTAACAAGTTCCTGGAATCAGAAAACCATAATGACGAAATATGCATGCATGGCAAGAAAAACAGAAACTCCTACCAAATACCATCGCACGCAAGAACAATGAAGTCATCATCATCACAAAGCTCCACCTGTAAAATTGACCATAATGCTTAAGAAAGCTGCACTAAGTCATCACAACTTTGTTTTATGTTTAGTAACTAATACAAAGTCCATTTAGTTAATTAGAGTTTAAGGGCATTTTTCTACTACCTTTTTTTCTCAATAAAAGAATACAATATAACACAAGCACATGGACACAGAACTTACATTGTTTACGTCGGGGTTAGCAGTTACTATTTGTTTCTCAACAGGCAAGAACTTGTTCTGCTTGAATTCCATGTCTCCTAGAGCATAACAGATAATTAGACATGTAAATAAAAAGACTCCTCAAATTTGTTCTACAGAAATGAAAAGCACCAATTGCTCTTGCAAGATTTAAGCTTCCATTCACTCTCCCTCCATGTATAAAACCCCCTGCTTTTAGTATTCTTTCTCTTTCAGCGTCAAGTTCTGGTTTGTGGTCTCTTGACAAATTGTATGCCTGCGAATTGAAAAAACAATTAAAACACATCAGCTCATAAGCAAAAATAATCTGCCAGTAATATTGGGCCTAAGCTCCAGCCAAATGTAAAAAGATGACCCTGGGTACTATACCTGTCCCTTCCTAGAGATCACACAGCGCGAATCTCCAGCATTTGCGACAACGAGTTGGTTACCTCTCATGATTGCTACACAAGCTGTGCTGCCAGATGTTGGTCCAGAGAAGTCAGAGTGGGGGCCCTAAATATTGAAATCGAAGTCAAAATAACTGCTGGAAATACAAATAATATGGTTAAATTTAAAATGTAAGCGCAATATGAAGCATCTTGTCTTGACTATGGCTTCTGTTAAAAAAAGTGTATATTGGCAGAACAAGTAATGAATATAGAAGAAAACAGTTGCCACACTAGATTGCAATAGCCGTGCTATCATACATAACAAAAGCATATTGCGTTGGTACACCCACACAGTCACACATCAATGACACCCAAGAAGGGTTGCTTCAGTAAGCTCCATCCGCAGTTAAGGATGTAACACTAACTCACATGGAAGAAATGAAAGACATCTGTCAGCTGAGAATTTACTCGGAGTGAAACCTCACTAAACAAGAAAGTGACTGCAGTTAGACTTGGAAAGGGCCTGACCACCATTTACGCACTTATTAACAAAATGCTACCCCAAGCCAGTCGGCCCAGTCCAATTTGCTGCACAAAATTGTGAAGGTAAATTCAACCTTATGAGATATCTTAGGTTTTAAAGTTTGATTAACATTAGAAAAGAGTTACGTTTAGCCATCATAATCATTTTCCCTTTACAGCCCTCCTTGGAAGTGGAGAGCTTGGCACAGAGCATTAACAGGAGATCAGATAAGGTCTGGGAGTAGCTAATATTCCAGCCTAAGAAGATATACTTTTCAAAACAAACATAAAATCTTATCTGAAATGGGCAGAACAAATTGCATTAAACCCAAGGATCTTGATAATCTACTTTACCACCCATCCACCCTCTGAAAAGGGAAAGGAAAGAATTATCATCCATCAAAAAAAATACCAAAATATATAGAGTGAAATGCATCCAACCATGTGGTAAGCGACCTAATACATGCTCAGGTCAATTAACCATTCATAGAGTTACTACACTTGTATATGTGCCTAATACACACATGATTGACAGGTATTTGAAACGTTGGTAACGATCACCTTATTGTGACAACTTGTCAACAGGTGACAGCCATCCAACACGCTATGGCACGAGCATTTGCCTAGGCTCGTGGTAGCCAGAGTGCTGGTCACATGGCCACATTTATATGGGACCAGGGTCCAATGGACTGTCACGGGACAGCATGCTGAGAATGGCAACCCATACTCGTGAATTAACCAAATTCCATTGTCAATAATTTTCACTATCCTGCATCAAGACCTATCTGATAATTACCTAGTCTAGATTCCCAAGTGATATTTGTAAATTTAATAAAGTGGGAAACTTATAATTTCATCTTTGTTGTGTTAATGTTGTTTCAATACCATCAACCATGTCACATCAGAAGCTCAAACTAAGCTCATGAAACAGAAAGTGCAATCTCAACTTGGGTCATCCTATTTACGCCTGTAAGTTACACCCTAGTCGAGCTGTTCATCATGTGTTTCAATGATTAGGTCCATTAATTAATTCATCTTTCACAAAACATAATCCTTATTCATAGTCACTAAGAGACATATATGCACCAAACAGTCACCTAGTGCTACCCAAGTTACTGCTGAATTGATCTATTTTAAAAAAGTAGGCACGAGCCATTTCCAGAAACAAAACTACAATAAGTTCAGGCCTGTTGCTCTCCCATTATCTAGCTCATCATATTTTATATTGGGTCAAATAGAAATCCAAAAAACATGGTGTAGCTTCTATAAGCATAGTCCACTCAGATATTACCTCCTCGAAGGCCCAATCATCTTCATGATTATTTGAGTCACTGCCCCTTGGAGACCAAATCAAGCCTTCTATCATGCCAGTGAACTTGTTTATCTTATCTCCAAGTACGGCTAGTTCTCTCCACCCTCTCTGTCCTTGCATCATTTCATCCATTCTGAAGAAACAAAAATGCAATACTACTTTATCTTCAAAATAAAAAATAATGCTCTTCATGAAGCTGCATGATTCATTAAGTAATTGATAATTCGTAATATTACTACAAAAGAAAGGTATTAAGTTACCTCAAGAAAGCTCTTTGAACAGAAGTACCTAAATCTCCTGTCGAACTAGCTTCATTCTTGAGAACCTGAGTGTGGAGGTACTTTGCACAAAACTTAGCAACTACTTTTCCTGAAACAACCAAGTATCAAACTAAAACTAGTAAAAAGAATTTCTTGACATAAAGGAACACTGAGAGAAACACATACATCACAAAGCATCATAAACAAAGATGCATCGCATTTCAATGTCATACAGGCACAGAAATTATTCTCACAAGAGAACATTCTTTTTGCAGTGTAGACTTTGTTTCATTTAATGAAAGTGTCATTTGTTCCACAGCCAGGAGTTCTTAGATAAAAACAAAGACATGAATTGTGCTGACTCATGGGATTTATGGTGCAATTTCAGCTAGCTTGTTTATCACATCAAGTAAAAACAAGGTCATGAATTGTGCTGGTTCATGGGAGTTTAAATGCAATTGCAACTAGCTGTTTCATGATATCAAATCTGTACCATTGTCATCAACAACAAAGCATAATGTATCATCAAATATGGCTGAAAAGCACCAGCTTGGTGCATTGCCTTTTGGTATGAAGCACACAATTTGCAAGCAGATCCAACTGCTAGCATTCTTGATTAGATCCAACTGCTTTGCAAAAGCAGATATATGTTTAATAAGATAAGCACCTTCAAGTAATGTTGGCATAGGCACAAGATGGTTTCTATTATTTTTCAGTACAAATCAAACATCCAAAAATCATCAAGCTGCCAAGATGATCGAATTGACAAATAAATTCTTTTTCAAAGCTTATATTGACCTTATATCAAGATGACGCCTATATGGATTGATATATTCAATTTTGATAATTTTGGCACTGCTCACAAACCGACAGCATATGTGTCACCAGTCAAAAGGAGCACAAAATAAAACATTTTGTGACTTCAAAAGTTCCTGAGATATCTAGTCAAAAAATTCCTCATAGATCACATAGCAATCAACAATAACTTACCTCTCTATGCTATCTTGATAGCCCAGGAGATATTATGGTCATTTCACATAAACATTAGCATTCTACTCATTGGAGGATGGCATCATTATATACTTGACCAGAAACAGTGAGTTCTCTTCTAATAACCAATATGTTAGCAAAATACATTTCAACCTTATGAACATTTAAGAAATGGTTCCATCACAGTACAAAACACAAGCAGCAGATCCAACATCACACAAACTAAAAAATGTAAAAGCAGCCTTAGTTTCCAGACCTAAATAGTTAGCCAGGAAAGTTGAACACTAATACAAGAAACAATAAAAAAGAGAAGAAAACAAATAACAAATGACAAAAACAAGGGTCTAACAAGTATACAACTTGAATGATCTTCTGAAAGGACCTAGGTTTCAAAGAAGGAACAAGCTAGAAAAGGCAAAGCCAACAGACACCTTTAAAATCAAGTTGTAGTGGCATTAGTTGCAATTTAGAGATAATTTATACTTACCACCATGGCCATCATAAACGCCAAAGAATGATGTGCAGTCATCAAGATCTGGCAATGCAGCATGCTAAAGAACAAATCGGGTAAGGATACAATTTAATGTAAATGTAAGTCATGAAATTACTAAAATTATGAATAATGCAGAACAAAACAGGAAAAGAGTACATAAGGTAACACAAGTAAAAGCACAAAGATAAACCAGGAGAGGCCAGGTTATGGACTTGTGTGATGGTTGTGATAAAACCAAATGCACAAGGCAGAATGACAGATACCTATCAATCATTCATATAGATTTTGAGTATTAAAGAGAAATTGATCTTTTTGGGTCTTTTGGGACTACTTGTAATCATCTGGTCCCAACTCCCAACAATGAGTATCTTGTTATAGTATATCAAAGAAGAAAGAAATCTTGTACCTCCTTTTTGTGTCTCCATACTGCATTGGAGATAAGGATATGACTAAAGCTCATGAAGCTTTTTCTCATAAGCAGCTTTAAGGTGGAGGAAATGGAAGGCTTGGCAACTACATCCATTTTCTTCATACAACCATTGGTTAGTTTTTCTCTTCTATTTTTTTACTCATAATTTCATATGCTTAACAAGATAAAGGGCATGCAATATTTTAAATTTTCTGGTAAAATTGACAATGCACTGTCATGTCAGCTAATACGACAGCTGACATGACGTAATTGCTTTCTTTGTTTTTCAATCTTTTTCTTAAGTGTGATATAAGTCTACACTTATCCCAAAGCTGAAGTTGTGTACCCTGTACTTATTTACTCAATCCCCATCGTTGCAACCTTCGGTCACCAGCATTCTTGCTATAGCACAGATCAGCAAGTCATTCCAGAATATATGTTGTCCTGTTGACCAGTATAGGAGTATGCCATGGCAAATGAACAGACAAGTAAAATATAGATCCAATAAAACCATCATAAAACAGAAAAAGTGAAATTCGGTTAAAATAGCACAAAAAAAATTGTATGTATTGTGCAATCAATCATTTTTTTCTATGACATAATAAGAACCAAGGTTCACTGTACCACAGCATACCGCCCGGTATAGACAATACATACTGGTCGACAGATGACTAATACTGACGGTACATACTGATTTGTTGGTATGCCTCATTGTATCATGTGTCGATATATCAGTATACTTTAGTACATATCATACTGATAGCCGATCGATATACCGGTACGAACCGGTAAGACAAACCATGGTAAGAACCAACTAAAAAACGATATACCTATTGACAAGGATTTACATTCCTGTCTGATACCGGTTTGGTAAGGTACCAAACCAGTAAGGTACTAGTATACCAGGCAGTGTACCAATCTGCACAGCCTGGTTGACTAAAACAAAAAAGAAAATATACCAGTATGGGGCTATACGGTCCAATACCAGTACTTCGTTGAACCAATAAATATTGGTAGGTACATAGTAGTCCAACCAAAATTTAAATCCTTGCTTATCCATATCAGCAAATGACAAAAGCGCTGCCTGAGTTTCTTGACATGATCAGGCAACAATCATCTGTTGGTTTATTTCTTAAAAATGTTTTTGCTTGATTCCAAAAGTTCAAAAGCTCAATAGAGCTGTTACAAGAACAACTGCGGGTTTCTCTTGGACCTTTGCAGATCTCAGTAATAAATCATAAATTTAAAGCAAAAATATCTTACAGTATCAAAGCAAAATATTATACTAATTTTATCACATAATCTTGATAAATTATATGATAAACATAATATCTCATGATAGACAAATTTGGTTTGGCATTAGATTGGCAACAATTGGTCATTCTCAACCTCGAGCGACTTCATTGGGGTTTCCCACTGGAACCACCACCTGTTGCAAGTCCTAATCATAACTTCCAGATACTTGCCAACAAAGATAGAAGAAAGCAAACCCATAAACAATTGTATTTGACTCTCAAAATGTAAAGCCGTAGTCAAGCACATTGGTTCAACATTATCTAATTTGTCATTAAGAATTCCAATTAGGCACCCAAAGATATAAAAAAAAACATAGTTTCTGGTCTAACCCATTAACCAGAATGTGAACTAATACAAAAGTACTTAAAGGTTTTAGAAGCACTTTTGGAATCTACAATCAATTAGAATCATGAGAGCATGAATAGATGAAGGAAAAAAAAAAGAACTTACTGCATCTTCCATAGTTGCACGCCATCCTTGCATAGATGAAAGGCCAAACCTTAGTCTATCACTCTCACCATCTTCGGAAAATTTCTCAGTTTTGGGAGTGCTGAGATATATCCCCATTTCTGTGAGGTGGAAATGCAAGGAGATAAATTTTAAACAAAACCAACTTCATATAACAGTAAGGAAATTATTGACAAAAGAATATGAATGCTGCACAAAAGAAAAAACACCTTTAAATTTTGCTTCAGAACAAGGGAAATACACTTGACAGTCGACACAAACTACTTGAGTCTGAGAGGTGAACTCTCTAACTGCAAAATATGGTAAATAAGGCAGTCCAAAGAAACCTGCAAATTCATTTTCCACTAAGAAGATATACAAAGTTACAAAAGGTCTAGCAGCTTTATAGAGATAAGGAAGAAAAGATTGTAAAACTACTTGTTGACTAAATCATAAAGATTATCCCTCACAAACCTTTGTTTTAGGAAATCAATAGCCAGATATACAACTGTGCATGTTTGCCACCTAGACACAACAAATCTCTATTGACTATACTACATCCACAGACAAAATAGCTCATTTTATACATTTCTGCTAGCACAGAAGTGTCAAATTAATATGTATTGTAAAGTAAGTCAAAGCAAAACAGTCAAGACGAAGAATTCAAAATTTGCAATCTCAAAAGAATACCAACAGGTCAGCCTCAACACAATTATCATCGGCTAACACAAGTTCACGAGTAAAATAATCTAGATCTCTAGATCATGGATGATGCAATAGACTTTAGACAGTTCACTTAAACAAACAAGAAGTCCTCATCACATATATGCATTTTAAAGAAATTAACAATGAGTTCACTGGGGCAAAAAGGTATTATTACAGAATGATCAAACTTCCAAATATATATCTGGTCAAGGTTTAGCATAAAAAATTAGTGTATGAATTCCACCTACCACAGAACATTTCGTCTGAGGTCACTGACTACAAAGCTTGGCCATATTTCATATTGACTTATTCTGTTATTCATATGAATGACACATCTAGTCTCAGAGACTACCATATCAATTTTGTTATAAATGAAATTCTCAGCCATCATCAATGAGCTAACTGCTAAGCATCCCTACAAAATTAATCATCAGCCTAATATAGACAACATCCGTTCTTAGTGGCTTAATGGCTTAATGCTACCATAGATAACTTCAAAGCTAACTTATAATTTAAAGAATGTCTTCTATTTTTGCTCTCACTACCCTTCAAAAGCTTCAGTTACATATAAGACACTCAAATGCAGTTACATAGTAACAAGGACACTTTGTTAGCATGAATATCATATTGAACTTGCAAAAGGCCATGAAAAACATTTTAGTAACATCACAAATTGCTCATTCATAATCGACAGATATCCTTATTTCTTATCCTAGTACTAAAGGTAGTCCAGTGCATATGGTTCTAGACAATGCAATTAGAAAAAGCGAATGAGTAGATCATCTAATCCAATAAAGGAAACATATGAATGGTAGTGTTGACATTTGTTTTGTTTCACAGAGAAAGAGAACAATACAAAGTTGGTCATTAGCAGATTCTACCAACCTGAGATTTAGCTCAGCAAAGTAGCTACTGATAGTGCAAGCCAGCATGTACCAATCTCTCTTATTTCTTCAGGCACAAAAGTTGAACATCTTCCAGCCTGCACCATGAACAAATGATGGCTAATGCATATATGACATTTATGAAATGGCCTTTCCACAAGATGACATTTTACAAATATGAAATTATATGTATCTATTTATCCATAAAAAATGCAATAATATCATATTAAGTGTTAACACACACTGGCACATTCATACTAACAAATGAATGATAATAAATAAGGTAGCCTTTCTACAAGGTGACACTTTGTTGAAAGGGAATGAAAGACCTATTGTCAATCCATAGATGTTCATGCGTAAGCACACATATTACACATCTACTAATGCGTATACATTTACCTACCTAGCTACAAACATACACATATTCATGAACATCCATTCACTCCCTACATATAAACATAGCTGATATATACTTAGACATGATCAGACATAAGTAAGCTGATATTACTTCAAACGACTTTTGAGTTTGTATCTATGTACACATGCTTAATTATGTATGCACATATGTGCTTATACATATAAGTATAGTAGACATTACATTTGGTCGATGCAACTACTGTATTTAGTTTGAAAATCTTTATTCTATCATACCCAAGAAGCTATGGGTTCCTAACTTCATATCTTGAGAAGTCGATCATCGAGAAATTCAAGCCAGCTAAAAGAAAAATCCGGTTGCAATTTTAAGACATGAAGATTTTAATATTCACCACTATTCATTTATGTGCTACACTGAGTAAGATAGCCCTCACAACTGTAGAGCCATCTTCTACTAATTATCTGGCTCAGGTATAATTCTAGTGTATTTTTTGAGGTAAAAGATAAAGTAGGTTATATGAAGAGGCAAGAAAGAAACCAATAAACATTTGTTAAAGTAACATAAATGAAGCAACGGCATGAAGTTCATGTTTCAGGAAAGAGGTTTGATTTTGAAAAAATGACTGAAAAGACACAGAAGAGCATACACCAATTCAGTAACCATATTTTATTATCAGTACTACAGATAATGTTGTACAAGATTAGAAAAAATTAATACTAAGTCCTGTCAAACCCATGACAACAGATCATATTCAGTGAATTGCAATTTCCCTTCTTCTGATAAGGAAAAATGTATACTCATAACATTTAGAAAAGAAAAGGTGGACTACAATGATCTCCTGGCCAAAAGAAAGTGCAAGTTCAGATCTGCTAGACGCAATACCATGAAGGATCCACATTTTTAGCATGGAGTTGAGAGACAGCTCATCCCTAAGACCATCGACCGTTCCTCATTTTATAGTTGTCGATAGAGAACAGCTAATAATTTCTAAAATTAATGATCAGTCTCACAATTACATTACATTAGTCCAGAAACAACCCGTTCATTTACTCTTCATATCCCACACCACTGGTCCTGAAGCCGCCAACCCTAAATAATGTCCTCTGAAGTTCAAAGAGAATAATACATTCATAATTCTCCTCCAACAGAACAATCTACAGAGAACATAGTACATGACCATAGGCGCAGACCAAGGGACTTACAAACTGTCACATCAAGGGACTTCAAAAATCTATCACAACCAAGGTGTCGTCAAAGCATGATTTACTACGTAAGGATCCTATGTTCGATCTAATATGTCTTCATTCACAAAATTCAGCAACAAAACAGTGACATTAAAGAAACAATAATACAGGGAAACAATCAGCTGGGAGTCATGCCACACCAAGAACCAAAATTTCCCATATCCGGATAATCCTCGTTTATTCTCCGCTCACAAAACAACCCTGGGAAACAAGTCCATCTCATTCCTACAAGAAAGAACAACTGCACGACCAAATTCAAGAGAAAAAAGAAATCTGAACAAGGACATGGAAACGTTCGTACATGAAATTCCTAACAAGTTCAAGCCGATTCAAGCAAGAACAGGCACACTGAACGGCGTTTGCAGTAAAAAGACGGAAACTTGCATCCAAAGATCCAATCTTGAAAAAAGATTCAAGGGTTCGAGCGAAAACAAGCGCCGAATCAAAATTTTTCAGCAATAAATCAGGGAACCAGAAAACCTCTCGGCAGGAAGAGTCGACGGGATCGAGATGGAGGCAGTCGGAGGTCGGGAAGAGACCCCTGGTAGAATGGATTGCAGAGCCGGCGTCCTTTGGCTCTCTGAAAAGATCCCACTGATCGCTTCTTTTTCCTTTCTATTTTTTTGTGTGCTTATTTTTAACCAAAAAAATCACATAAATAAATATATCCCCTTACAATTATTTATTTACATATGTACCCCTATAAATATAATCGTTAATTAATCATTAAACTAATTACCTATTATCCCTTATACTTAGAAAATCTATATTATATTTATACTTAATCATTAAACTAATTACCCTATCAGCATTATAATTTTTATATTTAAAAAATTTATATTAAATTTTTTTATAGTTATAAAAGTAAAATAAATAACATCATTTGTCCTAGTATTGATAAAATCATAAGTAAATAATAGAGTCCAAATATATAGGATAATATATAATTAATTCTTAACCATTATAATGCTTTACTTTATATCCATGTTATATTTATTATCATTAATCATTATTAACTTTAATGGTACATATATGTGATATTTATATTTATAGGGGCATATATGCTATTTCAAAACTTTGGATACTATAGAAGTTGAGGGATTTTTAAATATTACTCCTCCAACTCATTGTATTTGTTTTATGTATAATTAAATTAAATACATTAAAAAAAGCAAAAATCCAAAGATTGCTTATTAAATGTGTGTGTGTGTGTGTGAGACAATTTGAGTCATTCCTTTAACATTATTGTTGCTTTGTTACTATTTTGAACTATTTATAAAAGTGAAAAAAAGATTGGATATGGATTTAATATTTGAAAATTATATCTACTCGCATCTTTTTTCCATTATTTAATTAAATCAAATATCTTTCAGATATTTTTTATTATTTATATTTTATATACATATATAGAACTCTTCTTAATAATAATAATATATTATTTGAAATATTAAATCATACTATCTACTTTATTAACTAGTCAATATTAAATAACTGATTTAAAAAAAATAATTTACAATATCATTTTTTATTTTATTTTTTTTACTTCATTCAATACTTATATATTTTTTAAAATGTTTTCAATGCATGACACATGTTTTCTTTAACTCATATGCAACTTAAAACTTGTCTACAATAATTACAAATGGGCAATAAATCCTTTTTCTAGCCTCACCTTTTGGTTTGTCTTTATTTGTTTGTAATAGTACTTCTTTTATCTCTTCCTTCTTGATTGTTGTGGATCCCCATCAAATTGTCTGCTTTGGAGTGGGACATGCCATGGAGTAATCAAAAGCTATGTTGAAATCACCAATGCTTGGTGGTGGATGCACAACTTAGCCAAAGGATGGCCATTCTTAGTCAAAGAATAAATATGTTATTTATTTGTTAGGGTCTTCACATATCTATCCTTTTCACAGTTTAGAAAATGATGTATTTATCCCCATGAAATTTAATATTAACATCTATCCAATATTAGTCACCATTATATAACTTTTACCTAATTATATATATGATATATACAGACATCATTTTGCCTTCATTATATCCCAATTCTTTCTTATTCATAGCAATTCAAACTTTCATGTGAGGAGATTATAGTATGGGAAATAACAATGCCCCTTAATCTATGTGACATTGGTTGAATGATCAAAAGAATATTTAAAGGACAAACTTGGCACCTCTCACATGTGTGACACTTGGGATTAGTTTAATTACCATGGAATAGTTGGCTTAATCAAATCATTGATGGATTTATTTATTTATTTATTATTATTTTCTCATTTCAGAGGATCAACACAACACAACTGAGTCATCCTTCTTTGGTGCCTTCCAAATCTATCCTTATTGACCTGAAAAATCTAAAAAATTAATTAACCGTTGAGTTAAGTCATGTCTAACCACATAAATTAAATTAATCTATTAAGAGTTTATAATCTCAATATTAATTTATGTTCTTTTGTTTCGACATGATTATATTTGACAACATGTTAATTTTTTATAATATTAATTTATTAAAATATATTTGAGTTATCGAAGACTCTCACAGTCTTGCAAAAGGAGCATATTTAAACAATCGAATGTCATATGTGTCTGTCAATTAATATAAAAATTTATTTCAATTTAAAAAAAGTGTGATTAGTTCATATATTCACATTATTATTATTATTATTATACGTCTTTATCACAGCTGTGGATAAATTATTATTTGGGGCCCACCAGTGACAACCTATGAAGATACTCCTTTCTCTGCTTCGTGTCTTTACCGACACACGATCCGGATCTAGTGCACGCTATCGCTATCTTTAGCTGAGCAATATCTTTACCTACTTGTCTACCGCGATTGCTATTGGTATAATTGGTGGGACTGAGCTAAAACCAGACAGGCAGGTTGTTCGGGTGAGGTTCGGGTTGCATGTTTCCGCCGCGTTCTTGATTGCGACGATAAGAGGAGAATTGAGAGAGGGAGGAATGGCGTTGGATCGGTGCTGCTTGTTCCTCGAGATCCTCATCTCGATCGCGCTGCCTCCCGTGGGCGTCTTCCTCCACTACGGCTGCTGCAGCGTACAAATTCCGATCACAATCTCTCGGCTTTGTTCCCTGTTTACCCTTCTTATTGTTCAGCTGATGTCGATGCTCTGTCTGTTTCTTTGATCCGAAGCTGGAATTCTGCATCTGTTTGCTGCTGACGGTTTTGGGGTACGTCCCGGGGATCATCTACGCCATCTACGTGCTCGTGGCCGTCGATCCCGAGCCCTACCGTCGGGGCTACTACCAGCCCCTTGCTTAGGATGGCTCCAACGCGCATCCCGGGGTTTGTCTCTCGACTTCTGTATTTCTTCGATTATGTGATAATAATCCTTCCATTTATCCATCTATGTATTTGTGTTAGTTATTATGTGATTTCGCTCAAATAATGGGCGCGTATCATTTGACATTATAGTTTGATAGCCGCATTCTGCAACTTGTTGATTCCCATTATAGTTTGATTCTATTTCCCTTTCGAAGATCATTTTTTGTTGCCGCATTCTGTAACTTGTTGATTCCCATAGTTTGCTAAAAATATCGATCACCGTTAACCCCTATTCCTTTAAATCTAATGGACACTAAAAAAGCTGCTATCTTATACTTTCTCCGATATATGTGGGTAATATCAAACCTTGATGCAACATGAAATTGGATATTGCTGCTAAACTTGATAACACACCTGGATTAAGTAATTGATAACAAGAAGTACCTGCAAGCAACTTTATAGTCCCAACCACTCCATAAATTGTTGAGACTTTTAAGTGTCAAATGTCTAGAACGAACGTTCTGCATTGACAAAGAGGCATCAGCACTAATCGAATAATTTTGTAATAGACTTCAGGTCTAGAACACACACATTTTTCATTAAATTAAACAAAGTAATCAACACAGTGTCGAAGTTGCAACAATAAGAACAGTCTAGCATACATAAAGAAAGAGCATATTAACTTATTTATATGTATAGAAAAAAGCCAAAAAATAATTGTCCGAAGGTTCTGGATGTTGAAATCTTTGGACAACTTTCCAAACTTAATTAAGATCACAAGATACATCCTACAATCACGAATGAAAGTTTCATTGCGTGGAGCCAGGCACGGATGAAACTTATCACTCTAACAAGAAAATGGACTGACCTCATATGATCAATACACCAATAACTTTCTCTTATTTGTATCAGCATCCAGTTCAGTGTATTCAATGTACTGGCGATTGCAAGTAGCCGGTTGTATTTCAAGAAATAACTGACATTATTCTTTAGAATCTTTCTGTTTTAAACTACATGACCAGGAGCTGTATCGAACCCGTTCCACCTTTTCTTTTAACACACTGGGAGGTAGGAGCGTATAATGGTTTTCTATCGGCTCTCTCATTGATGTTACGGAAAACAAATGCTGATCTTCGTTCTTGGAATGCTTGGTTTAATTTGCTTTTAATGCTAGTTGCATATTTTCAATTCATTTTGTTGCTCTGTTCCTCTCATGTTTTAATACCCATTCCAAATATAGACCTTTTCAAGGTCAAGCAAGGATTAGCACCTATGATATAAATAAACTAAGTAGCAAATCTGGCAAATGGAGAATTTCAGAAAGAGTTAAGGGCAATAACATTTTAGCATAATATCATTGGTTTTTATGTTTTTACTAGTGTTTTATTAATTCTATATGACTTTTGTATTTTTATTATTAGATTAATTTCTCAACCAAGTTTGAACCCATCAATCTTCAACCAGTCCTTATCAATTCCAACCATACTTGGCCGATATTGATTCTGATATGAAATCTGTTGATCATTCTTGGAGTGCGCATCATGATTTAAATGCCTCTAATGATAGGGGTTTTGCAATATAGCTTTCTAGAAGTGATGCACCTTAATCACAGTTAATAAAGTAAAATAGTGTAAAACTGGATTGATATAGTACTAACAATTTAGTGTTTGGCATTTTGGGCTGCATTAATATGGCTACATATGAATGATCTGTCTCTGCTAACACATTTTGGTCATATTTGTGTCAAAGATGTGGTTACCCTCAGTCCATCAAGAGATGACCACCACTATTATGCCTTCTAGTAACATGGTTGGGGACCATTTAGGTTTTGCAGAAGGAATATGGAGATGGATTTCTATTTTAAAAATTTTATGATTTTAGGCCCACACTTTCAAATGTGTGGAATAGTTGCAACATGACAACAAATTAACAATAGGCAATCATCTAAATGATGAACTCAGTACTTATGTCAACAAGATCTCACGAAAAACAGTGTGCACATAATGAACTCTAGGTTATCATTATAGTGCAAAAGGTAATATAATATCAAAGATGCTCATCCAGATGGTGGTTAAATCAAATCAGTGATGCTTGAGGATCCATTAACCTCCAACACTGACCATTGAGACTTGGAAGCTAATAGACGCCAAGGTACACTATATATATATGAGGACGACTCCTCCAGACACTCCATTCCATATCTTAGGTACACAATTTGTAATAGGGATATTCCAATGTATATATACATGTGTCCATATGAATGATCTCCGACAAGAAGGAAGAGAGATGTAATATATGGGTTTTGACTTCACATGTGTAGGTACAAATTTTTGCACTATCTGTGGTTTATCTTTTTCTGCAGCATATGATATTTCACATGGTAAATGCAAAATAGTATACTAAATGCCATGCACTTAGCATTGCTATGAAAGAAATGTATCTCTTGATGTTGTTTTAGATTTTTATTCTGCCTTACTGATCATGTGTTTCAACAGTCTGTCCAAGATAATGGTAACAAGCAAAAAATCAAATCAGATGCTGGTGATCCTTGTGACCTTACCGACAACATTGAGAATCACATAGTTGATGCAGGTGCTACGGATGATGGTGAAGGGCATGGAGCATTTGAAGATAAAATTTTGCATAAGTCAACTATGATGATTACAGTGGGAACGGAAACGAAGACTACTGGATCATAAATAGCAGGTTTGAACTTGTCAGAAGGAAATAAAAAGGAGATATGTTATTCTAGTACCGAAAGAAGCCTGAAGAGAGATGGTGTAAGCTAGAACAGTAAAAAAAGGTGATGGTTTTATCATCAGAAAAAGCAATGTTGATGATGACTGCATGTTACCAGGGAGGGTCTTGAAGCTGTTTGGATGGAAGACATTTGAAGGATTATTGTTGAATCTGATGTTAGAAATCTAGAACAAAGAGAGACAGAAAAAACCCTCCTTTATAACTCTTATCTGATTGGTCTGGAATATTAAATTTTTTTTTTCTGAAATCAAAAGTATATCATGTCTTTAAAGAATGCAATAGAAGTCTCCATTGGTTGGTTGTGTATTCCATTTTGTTTTGGAGATGTATAGTGTGTCTTCATTTGAAGTGTGTTTTTAGCTTGGTGAAGTCATACTTTGTCATCTTCATGCTTAGTCATAGGCACATTAGCCAAAAAACAATTATATCTTGTATATAATATATTGGGACATAGACATCATTATTGAATAATAAAATATTAAAGGACAAAATATAAAAAAAGGAAGAAATTGATTATAAATAAATTAGCTTTCTTCCACTAGATATTTGGTGGTGGATGACACATTCACTATAAAAGTCCCTACATATTAAAATGATTAAATCATATAAACTTTGTTCAAGTAGAATCAACAAGAGAGAGGTTAAAAAAAAAGCATACAAAAAAAACTGATAGATCACTTAGAAAAGGACTCTAATTGATGATTTGGCTTAAACTTTGTGACGAAAAAGACTGCCATGATGAATCATCCTACACTTGTGTTTTAGAACCTTAGCAAATGAAAACCAATGAAGATTTTGATGTCATAATCAACTTGTACTTTTCTATGTTCTTAGCTTATTAATATAATGCAGCTGACCATGACAAAACTTTTATTCATGGGTGTAAAGTTATGAGGGAGAATAATGATTTATTTGGACTGAGAAGCTTAAAACTACCAATAAGACTAAAATGAAAGATTACATGTACACATATGAACATTTGGGGTTAACATTTGACTTTGATTGAATACATTACAATATAGATTGTTGAATATGCAAAACAAAAAATTTCAATCAAAAGTACTTCTACTTGTCAAAGATTTTTAATGACTCAATATAAAAGTCAAAATAAAATTATAAAAATAAGAAAAAAAAACTATGACTATTAAAACTGAACTTGGTTGCAATTATTGAATCCTATATTATAAATCTATGATTTTCCTACAATGGATAATGGTGTTAATTTTGACGCGAGATTAATGGGTTTGGATTAGAGTTATGTTTGAGTTTAGGAGTTTAATCGAGTCGATCCGAGTCAACCCAAATCAATAAATAATTACATTAAACATATTGAAGTTTTTATTTTATTGTATTGCGTTCAAATCTTATAAACAATATATGCATATGTATGTGTCAAATTGGAATCAAATATTAGGTTAAAACTATATTGAAATCGAATTTAACTTGACCTATTTATTAGACTCGACTCGACTCGGCTCGGCTCGGCTCATGCGGTCATTAGAATTAATTGAATTGGATTATAATTTGAACTCTATGATTATGAAACGAGTCACGAGCGCAGCACGTGACAATGGCACCCATCCGACATTCTGCGAAACCACGAGGTTAATTTGGTCTATTTTGGACACAAACCATCTCCTAAAAGGATTACAACAATGTTTAAACTACAGTTTTACTTGTAAGCCAATCAGTTAGCACTCAATCTTTTACCTCTCTTGTGTGGGCTACGAAAATTACTTGATCCCACTCGTTTCCCCAATAGCATAGCTGGTAGAAATTTAGAGTTATGAATGGTGGGTAGAGAAAAGATATTGTAATATGGGAAACCTAATATACGACTACGACAACGTTACGAACCTTTACGATCCGAAACTTCGCCCTTGGGGAGAGTCTTTAATTACGAAATTACCAGGGCATAGCTTTATAGCTTCGGACATTATAAGGGCTTCCGCCACCACGTCTCGCCTCCTTTTCTGTCGCCCTTCTCTTCGCTACCCCAAGAGCGAAGAGGGCTTCGCCAAGGGCTCTTCTATCGCCTCCTCCCTCCTCCTCCTTTTCCTGCCGCGCTGCCGATCGCGTATCCGGCGTCGTCGCACCACCGACCAGAGAGAGCTTGAGAAAGTGAGGGGGATCCATCGAGTTATGCAGTCAGATCGGACGGAAATCAGTTTGAGGCCTGGTGGCGGAAACCGAGGCGGCAGAATCCTTGGCCCCCGGTTCGACTCCGCAGCTTCTGCCGGCGGCGCTTCTGATCTCCCCGCCCTCCGTCCCCATGGCGGCGCCGGCACCGCCCTCCCTTTCAAGGTTGGTGCAAACGCTTTGAATCGATCTATTGCTTTCTTTGTTTGATCAAAGTATGTGTCTTTAAACGGTCCGATCTGATGTTCAAGATGGATTTTTTTTTATTTTTTTGGTCGATTGATTGGTTGTTTTTTGAGATCCGCTTATGTTTGATCTGCTCTCCTTTTCCTAAAGCATAGGGAGCTTGATGGAAGAGTCGTGGTCTTGGTGGAATCTAATATTGCCTAATCCTGGAATCGTGTTTTCTTATTAATTTTATGCTGGAAATTAGCTTTAGATTTCTGACAGATTTTCAAATTGCTTGTTCTAAAATGTGGTCCTGATATTGTCGTTGTTTCATTGCTGATGGTGGTCATAATTAGATTGAATCTCGATTGTTTCTGATTATAACTTGTCTTCTAAGTTCATGATTTGTAGTTGAAAGCAAGAAAAATTGGTCTTCAGATTTGTTTTCTTCACGACATTTTTTGATTGATGCTGCCTTAATGCTGGTATTTATTGGTCGATCTCCTTGTCCAAATTTCCTTGATATGGCTAATATCTTGTACACTCTATTTTCCTGGTAACAAACTTTTAACATTCTTATGGACAGATGAAAGCACCAGTTTCTTGAGTGCCCGAGACTGACCATATACCAACCAACATCTGTGTTTATTTTAATTCCCAATGTCATATACACTTTGGCACTTGTTTTCATTGTGCCATTTGTTCAAGTCTTTGTAAATGTTAATTTTTGAATATGCATACTTACTTTATGTATTTCCTTTCAAATACCTGTGAGATTAGCAATTTGAGTATTGAAAGGCATTGTATGAATATTTTGTCAGATTGGAGACTCAAGGTTTGAGAGTCGTGAACATATCCGTTACACAAGGGACCAACTTCTTCAAGTTCGTGAGGTATGTTATAATTTTCATTTGCTGAAAAAAATCATTTTATCATCACATTATGATTCTTGTTGTTGCTGTTAAATATGGTGGGATTGATTATTATTTTGATGCCTTATCAGTGTCTTACAGGGTTTAGTTAAATCTTGATTTGATTTTATTAGATTTTAGCTTTGTTAAGACAAGTGTGTTTTTGTTAAACATGTCCAAATCTAGTTGATTAATACACTAAAGTTTGTCGATCTTCGATGAGAGTTGATTGAAGTCATTGTTTTTATGAGTAATACACTACAGTTTATCACTCTGATGATGATGTTAACACATCTAATTGTTTTCAGCGGGTGTTCTGCACTAGTTTATCATTCTTTGATGAGAATTGATCCAACTTATTGTTTTGTGGAATTCTTCTTTTAAATATTATTTATTTGTAGTTTTTCCTATTCTTTTTCATACCAAGCCTTGGTACAATGGTAAGGTTGCTCTTTACGATGTAAGTGACCAAGGTTCAAGTCACAAAAATCGTCCGGTGCTTAAATTTGACTTTACCTCGACCTCCATTGGTGGGAGTCTTGTATGGGTTCATCATTTTTTTATGAATTTGTTACATTGTAAGTAAATGTTCCCCCATCTGACATATTTTGTATTCTCAAGATATTAGTAAATGCTATTTTATTCTGGTAAAGAGGCGCTAGGTGACCCCTTTTATTTCTTTTGCTTGTGGAAATTGAAGTGATATATTTATCATCACTACAGATTCTTAAAAACTATATCAGTGATCGGTAATTCAGTAGATATACTTGTTTAATCTATTAAACTTTGTAATCAGATCCTCCATAACTGTTGATCTACTTTTTTTTTTTCTTGGCAGGCTGTTCAGACACCAGAAGACATTGTGAAAATTAAACAGGAGATTGAGGCCGAATTATTTCCTGAAGATCAAACTTGGGGTCGGAGTGACTCTAATGTATGTTCTCCTGCTTCTACATGTGAAAGAGGTTACTAAGTGTTGGTGTCTTGAACTATTTTCTAAATCATGTGGGTCTTCCCCCACTTACCAAACCACAAATTCCAGTTTATAATGTGGAAGTATGCAGTGGTGGAACCAAGGGGAACTGCCTGGGGGGCCACAATCCCCAACCTTTCCAAATTACCTGAATTCTCCAATATGTGGGGCTTCCCCAAATTTGCTATCCCAATATATGGTATACTTTCCTCCATTTGTGTCATGAATATAAGATCCCATATAAAGAATACCAAGAAAATTTTGTCGTTCTTGTTGGTAATTGAGAGAGAACGTCTCCTCTTCCTCTGTTGTTTATTTTCTCATTGTGTGTCTTATATAAACAGTATACAGGGAGACCAGTTAAGATCTACATCAAAGAGTTAGAGGGGAAGAAGTGAAATTAAATTTCCATGCAAAGTTCTTGTTCCACCACTGGGATTATGGACTAAGTCTGGTCTTAATTTATTGCTAAGTGTCACAAGCTTAAATTGCATAGTAGTTTGGTCAGGCTTCTTTTTTTCTTGTTACTCTTTTTTCATGGTTCAGTTGTCTATATGCGTTAATTGATTCAAGTTTTCTGGAATTACCATCTGATGTTTGTGTGTGTTTTTCAGTTGGCAAGTCAGTCACAGAGTCGTTATTTTGAACCAGACGGTCGTGATTGGCGTGGCCGGTCAGGACAACCTACCTCATTTGGAAATGAGAGGTCTTGGGATTCAATCCATGATAATAAAGAATCAAATATCTCGATCTCAGGTTATCAAGAAATAAAGCAGTCAAATAAGCAGGGGTCCCAGTTTCCTTCAAGTACTCAAGTTTCTTCAACCCAGGTGGTCACTTATTAGATGAACTAAGGAGTGTTATTTTTCAGTTTCTTTGTGTATTTCAAGCCATTTGTTCACCTGCTTCTTTTCTTGTTAACTTAAGTTTCGTAAGTCTTGTCACTATCTTGGTGATTATATTCTTTCTTTTTGTTGTATATGAGACTTTATCATTCAACTTAGCATCTAAAGCCATGGTCTTTTTGGTGTTCCTTCACAAATGTCCTGTATACAGATTTTATGGCATCTTCTTGACTTTTAAAAGTTTATTGAATTCCATTTTATTGCGTTGCAGTATCTGCAGCTTTATCAATGTAAACATATCATTGCAAATGCTGTTATGACTATGCGTTTGGTCCAATTCCTAATTGAAAGTTGAAACTTATGTTTTCCTTGGTAGTAGATTGGTCCAATTCCAAATTGTATGCCAGTGTCAGTTTTCTCATCTTAGGAATGTGTTGCTCCGGTAGCAAAAATATAGTTCAGATCCTTCTAAGAGCAACAAGTATTCATTATTGAGTGAGTAAGTTTGTTTCCTTTGCGACTGGTCTTATAGACTGTTTTTTATTTTTGCCTATTGCTTCTTTCCATCCTATTGGGTTTCTCTTAGGTTTGGAGGCTTTATTCCCTCAAATTGATCAACACCCTTTTCTAGTATGTTAGAATCATATTACTTCTGTTTACATCTTTTACAGTTGCCAATATTTTCACCTATATTTCTATGTGCTCACACTTCCAGATTATTCAGTAATTAATATGCTTATTACATTTATACATATCATAAATTTGCTTCTTGTCGAGGTGCTATTTTCTGCACCACACATTCCCCACATACAGATTATGGAATACATAGTCTTATATATGTGTATGCAGTTAAGTTGATCCCGCTCATTTTTGCCCTAATCTTATATTTTATGTACCCTTCATCTTACTTTTAATGTACATCACTTACAGTCTTCTTATCTGCTGACCTCTACTAACATTGATAAAATGATTGCCCCAAGAGTCCTCTACTAACATTAACTTGCTCCAAATGTGTTGTTCTTGAGCTGTATTCTGGAAATAGGTTTAGAGTTGTATTAGTGATGGGAGGAGAGATAAAGAATCTTTCTAGGTATTCTTTGATTTGCAAAGGGATCTTTCTTTCATTATTACCCGACATACTTAAAATTGATGTCCATCTTTGTCACCTTCTAGTTATTCTTTGATTGGTTCTTTGTGGAACATTTATCCCTGTTGTTCTTTTGACGTTTAGATATTCTTCCTTTTTCTTTGCATTTAGATATCATTTCTTGGCTGTGTTTTGACATTAATTAACTTTGACTGCAATATATTAGGTAGGACCTACTCCTGCTCTAATCAAGGCTGAAGTGCCATGGTCTGCTCGAAGAGGCAATCTCACTGACAAGGATAGAGTTCTGAAAACAGTAAAAGGGTAATTAACTGACTCTTGATAGTCTAGCAGAAAAAAAGTTAACAATTTGCATAGCCACTGTTGTTCTAGCTGTTAAGTGAGCCTGCATGCATGTTATGGTAGTTACACACCACTTACTGGTTAGTCTGGTTTGGGATTTATGGTTCTAGTTTTACACTACATGTTCTCATCCTGATCCTTGGAATCAATCCATTCTCCTTGAAAAAGACATAAGGTGTATCAGTTGGGATTCTCTGGAAAATGTTCTCAGTTTTTGGTGATGTTTTTCATTGCAGTATATTGAACAAGTTGACGCCAGAAAAATTTGATATTCTCAAAGGCCAACTAATCGATGCTGGGATCACAACGCCTGATATTCTAAAGGTTTTGATATTTTCATGGATTTATACTATATTGTTTTTTGAGATGTTAACCTCTAATTTATAAAAAATTAATTTGAAAAATACACCAATGCTGCAGGATGTCATTACTCTCATATTCGACAAAGCTGTCTTTGAGCCAACATTCTGTCCCATGTATGCTCAACTGTGTTCTGATCTCAATGAAAAACTTCCTGTATTTCCCCCTGAACAAGAAGGCGAGAAGGAGATTACTTTCAAGCGTGTGCTCTTGAATAATTGCCAGGAGGCATTTGAAGGTGCTGACAACCTGGAGGCTGAAGTGCGAAAGCTGACTGCTCCAGACCAAGAAATGGAACGTAGGGATAAAGAGAGAATGGTGAAACTCCGTACCCTTGGCAACATTCGCCTCATAGGTGAGCTTTTGAAGCAGAAAATGGTGCCAGAGAAAATAGTTCATCATATCGCTCAGGTAACCATTTTTTATGCTAATCGTAGTCTTTCTATCTTTTATGAGATGTTCTCTTTTAAGGGACTTTCTGATATAGTTGCTGTTAACAGAGGTTTCTTCGATACGTTTATTTTCTTTTAAGAATCTTACTGACATAATTGCTCTGAGCAGAAGTTGTTGGGGCATGATGGCAAAACTTGTCCTGCTGAGGAAAATGTTGAGGCCATCTGCCAATTATTCAACACCATAGGAAAGCAGTTGGATGAGAGCCCCAAGTCTCGTCGTTTTAATGATGTCTATTTTAGCCGGCTGAAGGAACTAACTTCCAATCCTCAACTTGCACCACGTCTAAGATTTATGGTTCGTAATGTGCTTGACCTGCGTTCAAACAACTGGGTCCCTCGTCGTGAAGAAGTAAGCTGTAACCTGGTTCCTATCATGGATTTCAGACTTTATTCTTTTGAAATTTAAATTAAGTTGATAGATTAACTAGACTGAGTTCTGCTAAAGAAACTGAGAAAACTTGATATAATTTTCTCAAGAATTGATGGTTTCTTCTTTGGCAGGTAAAAGCCAAAACCATTAGTGAAATCCATAGCGAGGCAGAAAAGAATCTTGGGCTGCGCCCTGGTGCAACTGCAAGCATGAGAAATAGCCGTGATGGTGGTTCTTTAGGGGGACTTAGCCCTACTGGATTTCCTAACAACAGGCCTGGAACTGGTGGTATGATGCCTGGAATGCCCGGGGCAAGGAAAATGCCTGGAATGTCGGGATTAGATGGAGACTTCTGGGAAGTTCCACGGAGCAAATCTATGCCCAGGGGTGAAGCTAATCGTGCTCATAGTTCTTTGGTTGCCAAGTCACCAGCCATTAATCCAAAGCTTTTACCTCAAGGTAGTGGTAGCCTTATTGCTGGCAGAACTAGTGCATTGCTGCAAGGCAGTGGTCCGCCATCTCGTTCGACTCTTGCTACAGGCATGGGAGACTCCCCATCTCAAAACCTCGTGCCCCTGAGGCCTGCTGCTCAAATGCCACCACCAGCAATTCCAGAGAAGTTAGTGGCAAAACCCAAATTTAATCCTAATGAGCTACACAAGAAGACTGTCGCTCTTCTGGAGGAGTATTTTCACATCCGCATTCTAGATGAAGCACTTCAATGTGTAGAAGAACTGAAGAGCCCTGAGTATCATCCTGAGGTGGTCAAGGAAGCCATCAATATAGCTCTCGACAAGGGTGTCTCATGCCTGGAACCTCTAGTGAATCTTTTGGAGTATTTGCTGGTCAAGAAGGTTTTCACTCCAAGGGATTTGGGGACAGGTTGTTTGCTTTATGGGGCCATGCTGGATGACATCAGCATCGATTTGCCGAAAGCACCGACTTACTTCGGTGAAGTGGTTGGCAAACTGGTTCTCATCGGCGGTGTTGATTTCAAGGTGGTGGAGGAAATCCTCAAGAAGGTAGAGGAAGCCAGTTTCCAGTCAGCAGTATTTGATGCTGTGATGAGAGTCATCAAATCAGGTCCAAATGGTGAGGCAGTGTTGGGAACACAAGCAGCAGAAATCAAGGCCTGTGAGAAGCTGGTAAATTGAGGATGTCATAATGGCTTCTGCTAAGGTTATTTTCTTTCACATTCTGTACCTCTAATAGAATAAGTTGTTTGGTACCTTTCTTTTCCCTTTCCCACTTTTAATTCTGTTCCATGTTCTTTTGTATGAGATGAGGAACATATAATACAATTGTTCTAAGGGGATTTGTGAGCAGCAAAATTAAGCCTGACTTGTGCATTGTTGCTGGATTATGTTAAATCTTTACTAAAGGACAAATGATGTGTAATTTTGTTTTAAGTTGTGAGAGTATCACTTGTAATAGCACTTCCGACTGTTGGGCTAACTATTTGACAGTCGGGAGATCAATGATGAGCATATTGAGATGAAAAACTTGTATTGTCGTGATATTTTTAAGAAAGATAATAAAAATATTTTTGTTCATGAATAAAGAAAAAAAAAGGAAATAGTACAAAAAACAAAAAGAGAAGATATCTTAATATAAAATTGTAAATAAAAATTTAAATATTTTGAATGTAATTAAATATATATATTATAAATTTTAATAACGGTAAAAGATTCATATAATTGATCTTAGATAATTGAAATTTAAGATTTTATTATTGATGACACTTACTCGTTTTCAGTATGTTTTCATTTGGTTTCGTGTCACAAGTCGCGACCTTTGGCCTATGAGAGGATGAACGTTATCCATCGATGCGCAGGTCTTGCACTATGGACCGTTGGATCAGGAGCGGATTCCCATTAGAAGGCGTCCTGACCCTTCGATTGCCATATAAAAGGAAGCGGGCGCCTTCCCCACGTTCCTCTTCTTGATAGTTCTCGCACTCTGTTCTACCGTCACTACCTCCGCCTTCTTCTCGCCATGCCTCCGACTCCGAGCGTTCGCTGCGACTCCCCTTCCTTCAAGATTTCCCTTGCCCTCGCTCTCATCCGCTTCAACAAGATTCACCGTCCTTCTCCCTCCTCCTCCTCCGACGCCCAGCGCTGGAAGCGGAAGGTATGAATCCGCTCTCCCACCCTCCTTCTCTTAAAGAGAGGCGATCTGGAACCCTAAACTAATCTTCGGCTATACCACCCCACGATTGCTTCAGGCCAAGGACCGGAAGCTCGAGATCCTTAGGCTCCGGGAAGAGCTCAAGCAACTTGAGGGTATCCTCACTTTACCGCTTCCCTCTGATGATCTCTTTGTTTCTGGTTTCTTGGATGAGTTGTCTGTAAAAGAAGTCTGGATGTGTAAGATGGGAGAACGTGTGAAGCCGATCTACCAATTGCATCATGCCGGTGCCATTTCTTTGATGGGATCGGTGAGTTGGGAGGAGATGGTTCGGGACGCGGTGATGGAGGTCATTGGATCGATGAGGTCCTGAGGAGGAGATTCCTGAGGCTGGGTAAACGATGCTTTCCTGTGAAATTTTAATGGAGTTGATTGATTCTGCTTTCAGTTTCTTTCTGGTCCGTGAGTGGAAATGGAAATGTTTGAGGCTGAAATCTTGCCCATGTGACAGTTCGCTGGAAGGAAAGGAGGAAGAAAGTGGACCGACCTCTGAATCAAAAGCATTTCCTATGTAGGTGGTATTTGGTGGCTCATTTGAATGTTAGTGGTGTAAGAACACAATGTAGCTTCAATGGAACCTCCAAAGATCTACCTGACTGTAGTAGACATTTTCTTCATTATGACCAGTTTGGTAGTTTGCAAGATAAGCAGTTGTTTATTTCTGTAAAATCTACATATTATCCGTACTTCCATTTTTGCTCTGAATTTGTGTAGGATGAAAGTTCAAGGATATGAACAGTACCAAATCGCAAGGATTTGTTTACTAATAGCACTTTATTTTACTCAAGAGTTACCCTCATAATTCTATGTTGCTCTTTCTAAATGCAGCATTTGGCAGTGAAAATGAGATAGAGCAGCTGGGTACTTCAGTAGATTTCTTGGTGGAGTTTACAGATAATATCCTAGTGAAAGCAAGACGATTCTACTTGGATATACTTATTTAGTTACATTATTATTCCTTGCCTTTTGTATTTCAGTTGTTTTAAGTTCCTCATCGTCTGTGTAGGGGGAAATTGGCCCTTCTTTTGCTACTTTTTCTCATCAAGCTATAGATTTCATTTTAGGTGAGAACTACTACTAAACCTCTTTTGTTTTGTATTTTGACACCCGTTCTTTTGCTGTTTATAACTCATCTCTGCAATCACAACCCTATGATAGATGACATTTGGGTACAAATCTTCTCAAGTATTATTCTGATTTTTTATGCAGTAATGTCATGCTCACCTTCTAGGAATGACTTTTGTTTCCACCAATACTCGGATACTACTGTCTAGCCACTGATGACACTAAACTTCTGATGCTGTCATACAACCTGTGGTGCATGAGTATTATGCATTCCATTTCAGATATTGTACCTATTGTCAATCTGTTACATGTATATGCTGTGACAATGAAAAGGATGCATGCACAAATATAAATCTGTAGTGTCCACCATTAGGTCCTGTTCCCAGTCAAAAATATAGTGAAATCACCTTTTCCGTTCTCTCCCTATAAGCATACATGAACTAGGAATATTCTAAATAAAATGGAGGTTTAAGAAATTTTGCACAAGGAACATGTACTTGTTGTTTATTAATTTTGTGTTGTTATAAATACAACATTACAAAGAAAAGAAAACTAGAAAAAGACGTTTCATAATGATACTGTTGATCTACTTGCCATCAGGCAAGAAATTAAGAATGAATTAAATAATATTATTAAATCTTCTATTACTTTTTAAAACCAAAGTGAGATAAGGAAAACTATAATTTTTTATGTCATGTAAGTCGCAAGATTATCTAAACAATGCTCAGGGAACTTGATTGTCCATAACTATTTTATTTTTATGAGATTGATTTTGATTATGTAACTATCTAACCTACTGAAATTAGGGTTCTCTTTCTTTTTCTCTGCTCTCTGTTTATAAATATGAAGGTGACCATTGATTGCATGTGCTAGCTTGTACAGGCAGACACTTATCCTGCCAATACTTGTAATCCTTTGCATGACATTGTTTTTTTGTCTCTATTAATTGTTTGCAAGAAGTGTTTAATGGTGTTGGCAATTGCTCAATGATCTTTCTTTGAAGCCTCATTAAAGAATTTACTATCATCACAAAAGGATATCGAGCTCATTGAAGATATTGTCAATGGGTTGATTATGCGTCTAATCAGAAGAATGTGTGCCATCCCTGAAAATGATGGTATTTTTTCTTTCTTTGTAGCATCTGCTTATGATATTTGTCCTTTTCGGTTTTGGTCTTTTGTAAATGAAACATTAATGTCTATAATGTCACATTATTTTATATTTTTTCCTTGATATTCTCACAGCTCAAGTTTAACTCCTATAACTTGGAAATCCTAGCCACCTTTTGCTTATTTTTTCACAGAGTTCTGATGAATGCTTAGTAGTGATTACATTAGTTTTTAGAATAATATCATCTTTACTCATGCTATTCATATTAAAAATTTAACATAAGAATATGATATTTAAGTAAAGATTACATTATAAATTAAAAACTTCAAACCTTTCTTCCTCTTCCTGCACTACCTAACAATTTGTGTCCTTTGCCTCCACTTTGGGGAGTTTAGGAGTTGGAGGCTGAGTAGGAGGAGGAAGAGGTGTTGGGGATTGGGGAGTTGATAGGAGGCTGAATATTTTAGATGATGATTGACATGGCAAATACGGCGTTTCCTCATTGTTGTTAAGGCAAAAGCAAAGTGATAATGATTTTTTAATGCCACAAACTGAATTGTTAGCCACATCAACAACCCTAATAGGAGAGGGACTAATGGTGGCACAAAACATAATGTTCAGGTTTATCAAAAAATTTACAGAGGACCATTTTGACCATATGGTTATGCTGGAGGGATCATTTGTGGCATTACTTCTACATTTTGGGATGAGTTAATCTCATGTATGCTAAAGTACTTCTATATTTTTCCTTGTTTATCTCTTGATTAGAAATATGTAGATAATCTCAGCATATATCAACTCATTTGGACCTCAAGATTGTCTGGCCTTTTGCCTTAAATATGTAACCATTTACATTGCCTTTGGCTTTGTTAGTTTTTCCTTGTTCTTGGTTAATTTCATAATTCCTTTTCTTTTCTGCAGTATCAGGCTCAGTGAATTCTGATTCAGATCCTCAATTTTGTGTTCAACACCTAATTCGCAAGCTAGGAAATGAGCCATTTGTTGGTCAAAGAATTCTCCTTTCAGTCTCCCAGAAGACTTCAGTAGTGATTGATAGCTTACTTCTCATGGATCCGTTTGATGATTCATTTCCTTGCCTTCATGGAAACATGTTTATGATGTATGTTTTAACCTAGTGATTCTTAATGCAACTTTACAAGATATTAGATGAAAGACGGCACTTACAATAGCTTTTCATCTTCCATTGAGTATAATGTCCTCTTTCTTTTACCATTTATGATCATTCAGTTATGGTGAAATCATACTTGTTTCACTTTTGGGTGCGCATTTTTGAAAGTATTACAGGTCACAAACAATTGAATGTTCTTGTATGCTACACTGGCTTCGCCTGTTTTCTATTTTTTTTGAGATATGTATCATTTCTGTTTGAAAATCTTGAGGTTTCAAATGACTGGAATACATATGTGCATCTCTCCTACGTATCTCTCCATTGTGCTTTGAGATTTGGGCGATAATATTTCTAACATGTTTTTTTCTCACAACATCAGGATTGAACTTATGGAGTTTCTGATATCAGATTATGTCAGAAGCTGGATAAGCATTGAAGATTTTGACGCAAGTAGGTGATTTAGATAAAATATTGGCTGATTAGACACACATGACATCATTTTTCTAGTATAATTTTTTTAGATCAATTACTTTGTCTAAATATTTTGGTACTACATGTGGAATATCAATTAAGACATTCAGTAAGCTTGTAATTTTCTTTTCCAGCAGAAATTGCTTATGCAAATTTTTGTTGAGGACCTTATGCTCTGGGTTTGTCTCTCTCTTTCATACGATTGCTTATGCAAATTCTTATCTCATATTGTGCTTGGTTCATATTACGCTAATTCTAAATCTGTATTATATCTTGCACCATTTTGGTCACAATATTTATATCATTAATTGCGCCCACTAGTCCCATTCGATATGCATTCATTTTTCTGTCCTTTTTAAATATTTGATATTCAAAATTGGTCAAGAAGATGATACATGTTTTGCTTGGGAAGAAGGCCACTCTATTCTCTAAGTGTGAGTATTGCTTAGTAATTTAGTTGCCAGGTGGATCAGGATCTAGGATGCACTAGAATGCACACCTTATATGTTGAGCAAGACCAGTATAATAATTGTTCCACTCATTCTGTCATGTTTTATGACTATCATGAGAACATCCTTAGTTGTTAAGTGCCTTTAATTGTGGTTGGTTAATAATATCCTTTTTTGAGCTAAAAATGGTCCGTGTAGTTTGTACTTCATATTTTAAAAGTCATGATGATTATGTTATGCAGGGCTTCTCGAAGAGTGGGTGAGATCGGTTATACAAGCGCGCAAGGTTTCAGAACTCTTGGAGTCTAGGAATGGGTTATACATGCTTTATATGGAACGTGTTGTTGGGGAACTGGCAAAGATACTCTCTCCACTTGCCAGCCAAGGGAAGCTGGATGTGGACATCCTATCTTACATGTGCTGCTGACAAATTGGTTGTACTGTTGATTCCAAATTTAGTTACTAAAGATCTTTGCATTTGACAGCAGAATGGTGATCACAACTTTTTAAAGCATGGATAAGGTGCATTAGTTCTTTTTGGCATTGGTGCTTTTCCTACAAGTCTGCAGTATTAATTTCAGGGAAACTACCAGAAGGAAATTTGCCTGTGATTTCTTTGCTCATCATCAGTCCTGATTTCTTGTTTGCTCTATATAACCTGCATTACGATCAGATAAACATTTGTTGTTCTGTCAATTATCTTTTATCTGTCACCTTGCGGAGGATTTAATTTGTGCTATGGCATCTCGAGATCAAGGATAACTGTATACTGGTTGCTTGGGAGATAATTGAGAATAACTGGTACATAGCAGTCAGATGCAGCATGGTCCTCGCTCAGACCGGTACAAGCCAGACAATGATGACTCGGTGAGGAAATCTATGCTTGACATAACTTCCTTTCTAATATCCACAATTAGTCATTGCTTCTTTAGTGTTTTCTTAGTAGTTGTAATCAAATGCCTGATTCTTTGTGAGGAGCTTATGTTTTAGATGGTACCAAGAGCCTTTAATCATCAACCTTAGCATTAAAGTACTATTATTAGCTTACTTACCCTGACCTGGATTTTGATAACTCTTACCTGATAACTAGTCATTAGTTTGGACAGATCATACAATCTTACTGAATTGTTTCTGTTATAATCATTTTCTAATAGCTGGATCGTTCTCAAAAGATCATTTTTTCTAATGTGATGATAAATTTATGCTTAATACGTAGCTCTTCCTTATAGTAATGAAATTTCTTTCCATCTTACTTGTTTTATCCTGTAGTCATCCATCACATGGTGGAACCTACTTTTCATGCAGCGTGTGGCTATGAACCAGTACCTACTATTGCAGCTAAGATGTAAGAGCAATGCCATACCTTTCGGTGTGAGCGAACAATTCCAAGGAACCTTTAGGCAAATTTCGGCACTATGATGATGAATATTTTGCATTATGTTGATTGTAAGGGGTTATATCAAACAGAGAATAAAAAGGATACTTTGATGCATGTGTCCAGATAAGTATCGATCCGAGGAAGTCGAGACATACAAATCAAGTCTAGTGTTATGTGATTGCACCAACCGCTCGAATCAACACAAATCAAGTCTACAACGTGGCACCCATGTGAAGAATTCTAACCATGATGGCCGATTGACTGTCCACCGACATGCAGAAGGACCAGCGACAGGCTTTCATTTTCCGGTGTTCTTTCCTTTCTGTTGACGCAATTGAGCTGCCGACCAACTTATTTCTGTTTCAGAGTTCATGCTTCACCGACTCTTTTTTTGACTCCCAGGGAAAGAGATCAATTCTGACGCTGTTGCTTGTGAACGAGTTTTAGAATATCCATTACAAGATCGGTACGTTCTTTCTTACTATGAATGAAGCAGGCATAAATCAAAATGTTAGCTTGTGCATTGTCTGCCCCCACTTTATACCGAGCCCCTTTTTTGACGCCGTGAGGGCCATGCCAACTACGTGCTTGGTCTGACGCAATGAACCCAATTCCCTTCTTTTGTGAGTGCTGGTCCTCGGATTGGGTTGGCAAGCAGCCTGCGAGCACCTAACTTGGTTTTCAGAGGTTCGTCCTTAAATTCCCCTCACCTTCCCCCCCTTTATCTTCCCACATGATCGTTTCCGTCCGATCAATGAAGCCTAATCTCCTCTTATATTTTCTCCTCCTTTGTTTCCTCCGAGCCAAGTGGAGCTTAGCCACCAGTGCCAGCCATGCTGCAGAGGACCGAGTTCAGCAGCCGCCACAACTCCTCCGACACCAACCAGTTCAAGGTAAGCATGTGTTAGAACCCCTCTTACCCTCGCAACCTGGGTTCTTCATACCGTGACTTATTTGCAGGGCTGAATGCGACTGTGAGGCTGTCTGGTGATGGTGATTCCGGAAGGGAAAACATGCAGTTCGATACTGTGAAATCGAGTAAGTACTCGAAGAAAGGCGGCTTTGGAGGCAGAGGGAGGATTATTGGCGCGGGCTCGCAGTCGCTCCGTCAACCTCATCATAGTCGGAGCAGCTCGCCATCGACGCTACAGACGCGCTCTTCTCTATCGCCCCTTCCCCTCCTCCTTTTTGCCTTGCTTTAACTGCGGCGACTTCTCTATCGTTAGCGATGAAATAATTGCCATGGACCTTCAAACATTGTACTACGTAAGCATTGTATGAACTCATCTAATCTATAACTATGACACCAGTCATGATGCTTCATACTACCATTAGAATAAGATAGATAGCCTTCCTTCTTTGATTTACTTTTTATAAGACATCCTCTTGTTTGATGATTTTAACTGAACAAATTCACAAAGTTCCTCCTCCAGTATACCTATCCTGCACATCAAACATATCCAATAGATCTCCTTCTCTAAACTAGTGAACAAAAGACCTAGCTTCCTCGCACCAGTTTATCTGGCACTGCAACTCAAACAAATACAGCTCTCTTTTGCTAAAACTTATCTTTCGTTTTCGATATCTGCTTTGCTAAATTCAGAACTTTGTTCACAGGGAAAGAAGGAAACTTCCACCGAATGTTCTTATACCCCCCAACTGTGCTTGAGTTTACGATAAGAGTGATAAACAATTAAGGTACAAAATAATAATAATGACCAATGAAGAAAGTATATATCAATTTGCTTCAATCATTGTGGCCTGTGTTCACTCCTAATTTCTCCTCTGTTGAGGCCACCAGTGTCCATCACCGGTCGGGCGAAGACTAACTATCCTTTTACAATACTTTTTTTTTTTACATGTTTAGGAGATGATCTTTTACAAGTCTCACACATCTCTTAGATTGATCACAAAGCTAAAGGAAGAGGAGAACAAATGACTCCAATGACTTTAAAAATGGAGCTAAAAAGTATATAATCCCCGATTTCTAAGGTATTGGCAGTACTACTGCATGCAGACTGACACTGGGTGGTATTATAGCCTGATAGAGCATCGGAGATCAAGCTCTGGTAGTACCACCGCCTGGCAACAATAACTGCCTACGATACCACCGCCCAGACCACTTGGGAGGTGGAGCCTCAAGCGGTTCCACTGCCAACTCCGACGGTGCCACCACCTGACGTGGCTTCAAATGGCTAAAGGAGCCATTCAATTGGGCCTAGTTGGCCTCTATTTGAGTTAGTATGATTTCTCCCAAAACTAACTCAAATCAAAGTCTTAAATATGATAGTTAAGGCTAAAACAATTACTCTACTTGCAATCTAAGTTGTCTTACACGTCAATGGTTCAACTGAACTCTCAGTAAACTTCCAGCGAACTCCTATCAATCTTCCAGTGAACCTTCGACGAGCTTTCGGCGAACTCCCGGTGAACCTTCGATAAGCTTTCGGCAAACTTCCGGTGAGCTTTCACTACATCGTCTGATCCTTTGGTGTATCCCCCGATTCATCCAACACGATGTCCAATCATTGACTTCGGCCTAACTTCAATTCTTCTTTACTCGTTTTGCCTTTCTCACGATCGTAGTTAGTCCTGCATCACTTATTTCAACATATGGATTAGATCATTAATTCACCAATTGATGTCATCATTCAAAGTTAAAATCCGTCTATCAGCGACCTTTACTTTGAATTTATCATATCCTTCAATATGGTAGGCCAATCGGTCAGCAATCTTATTGTCCATAAAATTATTAGTGCTACTAGTATCAATCAAAACTATAACATGTTGATATTCCAAAGTTTCTCCAACTTTCATAGTTTGTGGGTTAGAGTAGTCGACTAATGCATGCATTGTATATATGATAGGTCCAACATCTTTATTAGAATCCATACCTTCATGGTCAGAGTCCACATTGTCAGCTTTCGATTCCTCCCAAATTAGTTTAATCATCAGAAATTGTCCTTATTTACATCGGTGCTCGATACTACACTTTTCATTACGGTGCTAGCACAAACCCTTCGCTGATCTTTTCTTGAGTTCTTCTTGGGTTAGTCTTCGAGTGTTAGAGTTTCGGTTGGGAATAGATGTGGTTGGTGGCTTATTGATCATTTGTTTGTTGTCACTTCTGTTTCGACGATTCTCCATGTTGATTTTTTTCTCATGTAAATGTATAAATGAGATTATGGTTGTCATAGTGCGGGGCTGACAAGATTTGACTTCACACCGGACATCTAGATTAAGTCCTTCGATAAATGTTCATACCAGTTATCATTCGGACCAATCTATGACTTGATTTGACAATCGTTTAAGTCTGTTATGATATTCTAACACCGTAGAAGTTTGACGAATTTTGGTCAGTTGCCCATCAACATTCTCGTATTCAGATAGTCTAAAGTGAATAAGAGGTGTCCTCTCTTAAATTATTCCCATAAGGAGATATCGTGATAAGTTTCATACCAATCATATCATTAGATTACATCTTTCATCTAGTTGGATTGAAGCTATTTTCACCTTGGATTCGTTATGTGAAAATGAAAAAAAAAATTTACTTTAGAGATCCAACTAGTCGGATCTCCATCTTACCATCTTGAAAATTCCATCTTCATGCAGGGATAACTTGTGTTATATTCTTGGTTCCTTTTTCTAGTGTCTCCGGGTCAGTTTAACATAAGACTTAAACTTTTATCTTATTGAAATTTGTTAAAACTCTCCGATAGACGTTTTTGAAATCATTAAAAGTTTCCTGTAATCGATTCTGCTTCCAAAACTTCTGGTTGGCTTTCAAAAGAAGTTCCAAAACTTCTTTTGAAATCATTCGTTGCATAGGACCGTAGATTAGTAATTCTCAATTTCTTGTTTCCGGTGTCTAGTCAACGGCGTCAACCCTGCCTATTTTTGTAGCTATGGTGATGTCGGCCTATGGTAGCGGTGAAGGCGTGGAGTGCCGTTGCGAAATTGTCTCGGAGGAAAACACTGAAACAGAGGATGATGGTCGCGTGGCCGCGCGGTTGGGAGTAGCTACCGCGATTGCTACCGAGGCTGGGAGGCTGGTGTCGGCCCAAGGCAGCGTTGAGGACGTAGCTGGGACGCAGTAATGATCGCGCGATAGTGAAGCTAGGAGTAGTTGCCGAGGTTGGGAGGCTGGCGTCCGCCCGAGGCAGTGTTGAGGGCGTGGCTGGGAGGCAGCGTTGCCAAGGGTTGAGGGTTGAGAGCAGCGATGGCGGCGTGGTTGAGAAACAATGGTGTAGAGGTTGCTCTGTTTCTGTTGCACTGCGGGAGGATACGCTGGCGACGCCGAGGGATCGCGAGCGATTGAGGGCTAAGGCTGCGATGGTTGCTATCGATGCCGGTAGTGAAGAAGGGAGGAAACAACGACGATCGACGGCTCCGACAGAGAAGGTGTGAGGAGGTGGTGGGGGGTTTGCCCTATTTCTATCGTTGCGTGGGTGAGATGCCGGTGGCGCCGACGGGTGGCGAGTGGCCGAGGGCTGAGGCTGCGGCTGAGGGCGATTGCGCGGAAGATGGGATGAGTAACTGCAGCAAGACGCCGAGGATTAGGAACAGCGACGATGGCT